TGAATGCCGGATTCACACTCTTGTAGGGACGCTGACCTTCCTCTGAAAGGTCGGGTATTGTGAGGGGGGTCAGAGCGGTGGGCAGTCATCCCCCTCCGTTCCCAGGTGACAGGGACGTGGCCGGTGTCTGACCACGGTCCCTGGCCATTCGGTCCTACAGAGTCAGCCCCGGGTTGCAGGTGTGTCCAACCTTTCTAGTTCTAGGATCATCTGTTGACGTATGAATTTGAAATGACTTTAGAAAACAAATTTCGGCTGAAAATCTAGACCTGCGAGAAGTAATTAAAATAATTAAAATTGTTTTTCTTCTTTAACTTCTCTAGATACCTGCACTTCAACCAGATAGAAACCCTGGACCCCGAGTCCTTTCAGCACCTGCCCAAGCTGGAGAGGCTGTAAGCGCCTGCTGCTCCTTCCGTTCGTTAGCGTTGAATAGACGCAGTCGCTGTGATTTAAAAAGCAGATTTATTCGCCTGCTTGTGACCTTTCCTATACACCTAAGACGTATTTTTAAAAGTAGGTTCTTGTCTCTCCCGACAGGTTTTTACACAACAACCGGATTGCGCATTTGGTCCCGGGGACATTTAACCACTTGGAATCCATGAAAAGACTGTAAGTTGTGCTGGCTCCTCTGCGCTCCCCATGCCCGGGCCTCCTCCTGGGTGTGGTGAGACGTGTGTCGCCTGCATGTAGTTCAGGAGACAGAACCTTCCTGAGGGGACAGACTCCGCCCGTTAGAAGGCCCAGGGCATGTGGCAATTGGCTATTCCTTGTGTGGGCTGATAAGATGTTTTAAAAGCCATTTCAAAGCCTTCGCCTGGATTTTAATTCATGGTGCGTATGTCCCCTGTGGAAGTAAAGTCCGTCTGTGGGGAGCCCTGCTCCGGCTCCATACCTGCCGTTAGGTGGACACGTCCACAAACACGTGAAGCGGACTGCGGTTTGCTTGCCCCGTTTCTCAGCCTCTGAAGTGATTTTTCTCGTACTGAGTCATTTCTTATAATAGACTCAGTCCTGATGGGAAAAGCTGACGTGTGTTTTTGCTTTCGGTTTGGAGGCCGTGTTTCCGGTCATGAGTTAGTTATTCAGTACAGCGGACCGCACTGAAGACACGAGACAGACTTTCATCTCCATTTATTAATGTTTTCCTTTAGGGTAAAGCAGTCAGCAGCCAAAGTACAACACATTCTCGGGGGGAGATGGGGTGCGTGCTGCACAGTGAAGAGTAAATAGGAGAGAAGCGGAGAACCGGCCAGGGGTTCCGACAGCCCAGGCGGGCGGGCCGGTCCACGGGGTGAAGCATATGCTGTGTCCAGACTGAGCCAGTCCTTTGACCTTCATCCTCTCCTCCCTGCCCTGTTTGCTCCTCGACTTGGCTCAATCTACGAAAGCCTAGATTTTGAGGCCTGTTCTCACTCCAGACACCAGAGCGGGGCACAGACTTGACAGGCTCCCATCCCTTGTCCCTCACCAGCTGGTCCACCGCGCTGCCCCTGGCCTGTCCCACCTACAGAGGACCTGCTATTCTGAGGGGCCGCCAGGTCCGAGGGAGCCAGGCACATGCCCCCTCATGTCCGTGCACTCGATCCCTGCAGCCTCCCCACCTGAGGGCCCAAGCACAGGGGAGCGGTGTCCTCATGGGGGACCAAGCTCGAGGTCTCTGCCTGCTGGGCAGCATCTCACCCCCACCCTGCATACCCCCGGACCCTTTGTGTCTCCTCCTGGGGAGCCAGTACATCCCACCATGGGGGTCATCAGAGAAATGACCGTCCAGGCAGAGGATCAGTTCTGCCCATGGTTCCCGTGGAGCCTGTGTCCTAGGAAAGACAGGTGGTGGGGGGTGGGAGTGTGACATCACAGGCCTAGGGCTCCCAGGGGGCCTGGGCCTGCAGTGTGGACTCAGAATGGTGAGGTCACCCCACGCTCCCCACACCTGAGCTCTGGGCCCCTGAGATCCTCCTCGGTGAACCACGCAGCACCTGCCTCAGTTGCAGGCTCTGGCCCCGGTTGGGGTGCGTGCCAGAGGCAGCCAATTGATGTGTCTCTCTCACATCGAGGTTTCTCTCTCTGTCTTGCCCTCTCCCTTGCACGCTCTAAAAAAAATCAATGGAAAAATAGGTGAGGATTAACAAAAAGAAAATACCGTCTTCTATAGTGGCTGCACCAGTCTGCATTCCCACCAGCAGTGCACAAGTGTTCCTTTTTCTCCACATCCTCTCCAGCACTTGTCGTTTGTTTATTTTTACAGACTGGGGACACTGAGTCA